GATCTTGGGATGACCTCTGGTTCGAAATGAGAGCCTCCCGTTCCGACCGGGAGACTCAACCCCTACGGCCAAAAATCCTCGGCCACGCCCCTCTTATAACTCTGATCGGCGACCCGGTACGGGAAGTCGCGAGGGGGCGTGAGGTTGCGTATCACACGCGCACCTCCTCCCCCTCCAATCGTACTTATTCCATTGTCAAAACACATCTTTGCCACCACAGCGTCCATAAGATTGTTCGTCTCCCCAGGTCAAACATATTATTCGCAAATTCCTCTTCGGGCCGTCCTGGCCAAAAGCCTGTTAGGATGGCCCGCCAGTCCCATGGCCAGAGGGATGCAGGGACTATGTGCTGCCAGATCCGGTCCCACCAGCGCCAGGTGAGGGAGGCTTTCGGGCACTATAGAAAGATGTGCTCAATGGTTTCGGCCGCTTTTTTGGCCGGGTATCCTCGGAGGCATCTGCTGCACCAGGGGAGAGCGCGGCCCTGCTGTTCCAGCCTGGTGTGGGCAATCAGCCAGTTGTTGGTAGGTAGGCACCTATGGGTTATCTGCCATTGCAGGGAGGTGATTTTGGCCGGCTTCCTCTTGCTTTCCTGGAACCACCTAATTGGGGCTAGCAGATGTCTGTCAACGTTTAGGTGTCTATACGAACGATCATTCACTGTGCCTTTTAGGTTCCATTTTGGCCTGATCATCTGTATGTGGTTTTAACAGTGAGGTTTTCAAGTGGTGTGTCTGTGTGGGTACCTCCTCGTGTCGGGCCAGCAGGTTTCAACTTTAGGGGCTTTGCCGCCAAGGCAAAATGGGCACTGGTGCCAGCCAAAAGGAGGCCTGTGCCTGCAACTGTTTTTTGGCATGCATCCTGTTTCCAGCCCCGGAGAATGTGCGTAGGAAGTTCTGGTGGCATACTACCCGCTGGAAAAAAAAAAATCCATTTAGGGGAATTTGCAAAATAACCCTGACAGTTCAAATACCCCTCGAAGATGTGGGTAGAGAGGAATACCCTTCCAAAATTTCGAAAGTTTGTCAGTTGCCCTTTTGGATTCAACTCTTTGCATTCTACTACCCTGTTCAAGTTTGAGTTCTGCCCCTGACAGGGGCATAACCCACAGTTGGCACCCCCTGGCAGAGGTGTAATGCAAATATTTTAATCCCAAAGGGTAACTGACATACTTTTGAGATTTCAGAGGGATATTGTGCTCTTTCCCCATCTTTTAGGGGCATTCTAACATCCCCGTGAAGTTGCAGGGGTATTTCGCAACTTTGCCATGAAGTAATGAAAACAAGTACAAACATAGCACTCTAGTGACATTACATTTTTTTTAATTTATTTTTTCGGTTGCAAGAATAGCCCTTGTGTAAGCTCTCTATCCCAAAAAAAAATAAAAAATAAAATAAAAAAAGGTCCTATCCCGGCGGTGGTAAGCGAACCGTCGGAATCGAGGGCTTATCTGCCGGGCTGCTTCATCTCTTGGTGGGGAGCGGCACCTGCTGGAAACCGGGTCCAGCGTCCCATTGGGCCATTGATACATCTTGCAAAGAGACTTTTTCTACGAATATTACGCGGGGGGCTTGCCCCAATGTGTGAATCTTTTTTTTTTTTTTTTTTTTTTTTTTTCAATGTGTGAATCTTATATCTTTCTCAGCCTTCCAAAAAAAAAAAAAGAACTCTCGGCCTTTGGCCCGAGGTCCCACTAGCAAAACGGATAGAATCGAGCTCCCGAATCTGGATGTTTTTTATGCAGAGATGCAGAAAAGCAGTTCAATCTCGATTTCCTGCACATCTTCATAACCTCGTCGAACGATACAGAGAAAGCAGAGAAAGAAGATTAGCATGGCCCCTGCGCAAGTAAGGATGACACGCATAAATCGAAAACGAAACAAACAAACAAACAAACAAACAAACAAGCAAAAAAACGAAGTGTGAATCTTTACATGTGTATATGCACGCCTACATGGTCGTACACGAACCTGTAGCATATGTGTCTGTACGTACAGTTGTGCATGTTACATGCAATGCGAAAACATACGTGTTGGCGTACGTTTATATGCAATGCAAATACACACACATCCTGGAATCAATACGGAGCTTTTGTGATGCATTGGCCACGAAAGCTGCGTACTGATACCAGGGTGTGTATATATTTGCATGGCACATGCGCAGTATATACGCAGCATATATACACAGAGTGTTTACGGTTATAGGGACGAAGCAGATTACCTACACACGGTTCATTCAAGACGGGGTCTGCGTTGCGTAGGCAAGCGGCTCCGTCCCTATAAAACATGAACATACGATCGCTTCATTCAATGCGGGGCCTGCCTGGTATATACGCAGAGTAGATGCACATTATATATGCGGTGTATACCTCAGAGTATACATATATATGCCTACGGTTTTACCGGGCAGTTCTGTTTGTGACGATATATATATAGCTGCCCCGTAAACCGTAGGCAGAGAGGGAGGGAGAAGAGGACAACAAACGAGGGGCTGTGACAAACTGTTTCGTCGGAGTTTCACCTACCTACTCATCAGGAGGAGGCTGAACCTTCAAAAACAGTCTGCAGAATCCCCTAACTGATTACCCTGTAAGTATATATCTATCTATCTATCTATCTATCTCTATATATATGTATATATCGTCAAATAGAACTGCCCGGTAAACCGTAGGCAGAGAGGGAGAAGAGGACAACAAACGAGACTCTGTCTGACGATATATAAACGCAACCTGCTTTGTCTGTTCTGTCGTCTGTGAGCGTATATGTGGAGCTTTCGCGGTGATCGGAGCCTGCAGCTTGCCGAGTTTCGTGCGTGGCTTTGTGAACTCTGAAGGAAATGAACGACCGCTTATCAGTAAACATTTAGTGACTTATTTACAACGCGTTTCTTTATACGTACCACAACAACCGGAGGTCGGTTTGGCGGGGCGGGCGAAGGGGGAGGGGGGGCAAAAAACAAAGAAAAAGGAGGGGAAGGGGGGGTAGAAGGGACGAGTAGAGGGGACATCGGCGGGACCCGGGGAATTATCGAGTCGATCGACTTCGTGCGACAGGCGCGCGACAGGCGACCCGACAGGCACTGACGGACCGACTGGGTGACTGACTGACTGACTCGTCGGCAGAATCGCTAGCGCCGCGGCAAAGGGCGGGGGGTGGAACCTGGAAGGCGGGCGCGCGGGCGCGCGGGAGCGGGAACCGACCTGGAAGGAGGGGGTCGCCGCGCGGTACCGCGACTTGCACAGGGGCGAAGCATTGGCGCACAGCGTCGATGCGTGCTTGGTAGGAGCCGTGACTTGGCGAAGTCCACCTTCTTCCCCCGAACACAAGGCACTCTCATTTGGACTGTACCGGGACGGAATAACAGTCTGTATACATTGATTATTAGGATGCGTTATGTTAGGGGGAAGACGGTAGTCAAGGATTGCGGAACAGCAGGAGCAGGAGGAGCCATCGTGGGTGCGGGAAGACGGTAGTCAAGGATTGCGGAACAGCAGGAGCAGGAGGAGCCATCGTTGGTGCGTCTCAGGAGCGGTGACGTGGCGCATTTCACAGTCTCTTTCCCCGAACATAACGCACCCTGATTCTGAATGTACACAAGCCGTCTTCCCGGTTGGATGCAGTCATGATGGGGGTGCGTTTTGTTCGGGGGAAGAGGCTGTCCAAGGAGTGTGCAATATCAGTATCAGTACGACGCGAAGGCATCCGTGCGTTTCAGCAGCAGTGAGGTGACACAGTATAGCCAAGGAGTGTGGAAACGCAACAATTGCAGCAAAACAAAAATCACAGAAGAGAGAGGGGAGGGTGGTATACAGCAGTAGGAGGAAGGTAGGGGGAAGGAAGGGGATGAACACGAGAGAGCACGACGGCCGACGAGCCGGTAGCAAGGACCAAGACCGGAAGAAGAGAACTCTGGGGGAGAGTTAGGGCATACTCACACTACAGTAGGAGGACGTCTTCTACAAAGCTGTAGACGTGATTGCGGTGAGATTCATCCAGATCTGGACGTAATCGCAGTCAGATGCATTTAGAAAAGAGATAGTGTGAGTGGATCCCCTCAGAGTGAGAAAAACGGGCTGCGATGGAGAGATCCGACAGCGCGGAGCTGGACGAACATAGCCAAGAGGTAAATGAGTAGGGGTGGTAGGGGTGATCAGGGTCTTTCTTCACTTCATATCCATCCTCTTCCCGTCCCCCCTTGCACCCTTCTTTTTCCATTTCCTTTTCTTTTGTTGTTTTTTTTTCAGTGTTTTTTCCTCCCCCCTTGCAGCACCCTTGTTTCCATTTCCTTTTCATTTCCTCTTTTCTGTTCTCCCGCCGTCACTCTGTCCTTCGATTTGTACCCCTCCCCTTTCTTTCTCTTCTTTGCTTTTTTCTCCCGCCGTCACTCTGGGCTTTCGAGTTTTACCCCTCCCCTCTCTCTCTCTTCTGTGCTTTTTTCTCCCCCCTTCACTCTTTTCCGTTGAGTTATACCCCTCCCCTCCTCTCTCTCTTCTGCGTTTTTTTCTCCCGCCGTCGCTCTGGGCCGTTGAGGTGTTCCCCTCCCCTCTCTTTCTCTCTCTTCTGTGCTTTTTGCTGCAATTGGCGTGGTCCTCTTCCTCCCTTCCTGACGCCACTGTTGTTGATCTGTCTCCTGTCTGCTATTGTGGGCGTAGTTGCACTGATCGCCATTCGCCAACTTTTTCTTTGAATGCATGCGGACGTGATTTTGTCCAGATGCACTCCAAACCTTGGGCGGATGGCGATTAGTGCAACTACGGTAGGTACGCCATACTCACACGGGAACAGATGTTCGTCTCTCCGGACATACTCGTTCGAGGATGCCTACCTTAGTGGTGTGTGTATATGACTGTAATGACGGCCAGAAACTGGATGAATCTGGCTGCAATCACGTCCAGACCTTAGTCGAAAAAGTCCCAGTGTTACTGTAGTATGCCCATAGCTGTATGCGTACCCGCTGAATGAGGAGAGGTGCTTGGCCATGTCGTTTACGATTCGTTTTTTCTTGCCACCCACACAATCTTATAGGCCATACTCACACGGGAATTTTCCTGCATGTATCTGACCGTAAAACCGACCATTCCTCTGTGTATCTGGCCGCAAAGGGTAGTTAAAACTTCAAATACTTTGTCTAGTACCCCCCAATCTTGCCCCCCTTGCAAAAATCCTTGCCTCCTTTTCCCGATCTTACCTCAATTCACGCTCTTATTTCAACTCACTTCTGGACGTGATTGCAGCCAGATACACCATTCCTACTCCCATCTCCTCCTGTCCTTCCCCAGTGTCTTGCGTCTAAAGCTTTCATAATATAATATCCGATTTCGAAACTAGGAAATTCCGCTAACACGCCTCGATCGACACCAGAGAAAGAGGTGGGCTAGCCAAGCTATATATACCCCGAATACAACGTACGGTTATTATAGCTGCATCTAGACTGAAAGATGCCTCAAATACAGGTATAATGACCATACGTTGTATTCGGGGGAAGAAGGTAGTTCATCTTGTCAAGTGCGCACTGTTTTCCTTCTCTAATCTATATCTCTCTGCAAGCCGTATTCCCATTTTCTTCTTCTCTTATCCTTTTTTTACCTCGCTTTTGCAGAGTCGTCATCAACGCCCTCCTTAAGGGGCCATTACTCCCTCTCCCTTTCTCTCTCTCTCTCTCTCTCCCATTCCTGTTGCCAATGAACTCACTGTTACCTTGCTTTCTCTCTCTCTCTCCCTGTCTTTCTCTCTCTTTCTCTCTCATTTTCTCTCTTTCTCTCTTTCTCACCGCTCTCTTTTGTGCCTTCTACCTTTTTGCTCCCTCTTTCCTTTTTTCATTTTCCCGGTCCTTCTTTTCTCGTCTTCCTTTCCCGCGCTTTTCTTTCGCAGATCTTTCCGGCTCGTCTTCCTTTCCCGCGCTTTGCTTTCGCAGATCTTTCCGGCTCGTCTTCCTTTCCCGTGCTTTTCGTCTTTTTCTCATTACCCAACCCGTCCATGTTGTCTGTCCATAGTCGTTCGCTTGCTCATGGGACGTGTATTTTTCCCCGCGTTTTTTTTTTTTTTTTTTTTTTTTTTGCCGTTCGTTTCTGTGCCTTTTCTTCACCGGTCTTTCATAGCGGGCACTCCTTGTCAGTGCCAGTCCCTGCCGTCTGGAGGTATGTGATCTCTTCCCTCTCTTTCTCTCTCTCTCTCTCTCTCTCGTTCTCTCTCCACTCCCCCCCTAGACGGCTTTCCCGACGATGATCTTCTACTCCTTTTCCTCCGTCGCTCCCTACTCCCCCCCCTCCTTGACGGCCTGGCCGCTTGGTTAGTTCATGGAAGTCTGAAGGAACAGCAGATGAGAGGAGAATAGCCAGGCAAGATCCCGACAGACTTGCACGTATTAAAAAAAGTAGGAGATGGAGACAAAAAAAAAAAAGAGGGGAGGAAGAGGAGGACGGCTACAGCGCATCTGCGTCAGCGTTCACGTTATATGGTTACGGAAACAAAAAAAAATAAATCATCAGGGCCATCATTCATCATCGTTAGTTGGACAATCATCGTAGGCGTTGTCTTCATCGTGATTAGCATTATCGGGTCGAGATTGCGATAGTCGGCAGCACCATCAATTTAAGGTGGTCGTTAGTTTGCCCAACGATCAGCGTGTGGGGCACGATCGTTCTGAGGCACGCGATTGTTGTCACCATGGCCATATCCCGTGGTCGTTGTCCAGCGTCACCTTCACCAAGGGCGGCTGTCAACCATCGCCGTCACTGTCTTCGCGGTCACCATTGAGACCACCGTCGTCACCGTCCCCACCGCCATCACCGTCACCATCTTCGCCGTCACGAACATTATCATCGCCTTCACCATCATTGCGGTCCCCATCGCGGTCGCCGTCACGAACATCGTCATCACCATCATGCCGTCACCATCATGGCTGTGACCATGATGGCCGTCACCATCATCGACGTCACTATCATCGCCGTCACCATCATCGTGGTCACCATCGCGGTCGCCGTCACGAACATCGTCATCACCATCATCGCCGTCATCATCATGCTGTCACCATTATGGCCTTCACGACCATGGCCTTCACCATCGTCGACGTCACCATCATCGCCGTCACCATCATCGCCGTCACCGTCATCGCCGTCACCATCATCGTGGTCATCATCGCGGTCGCCGTCACGAACATCGTCATCGCCATCATCGCCGTCATCATCATGCCGTCACAGTCCTCGCCGTCACCGTCCTCGTCGTCACCGTCCTCGTCGTCACCGTCCTCGCCGTCACCGTCGTCGTGGTCACCATCGCGGTCGCCGTCACGAACATCGTCATCACCATCATCCCTGTCATTATCATGCCGTCACCATCATCCCCGTCATCATGATGCCGTCACCATCATCGCGGTCACCGTCGCTATCACGCGTTAACGTTGCTGTCACCGATGACCGTCGGCTTCACCATTGGCGTCCCTATCGCCGTCTCCTTTTCTCCATCGCCGTCGCCGTCGCCTTGACCATGTCCTTCACCATCGCTATTGTCCGCTATCATCGATGTCATTCGTGGCTGGTACTTTCATCGATGTCATTAGTCGTCATTCTGAGAAATATGTAGGATGATGATAGCTGTAAACCACTAGGATTCACGTCCCCGCTATCATCGCCGTCATTCGTGGCTGGTACTTTTGTCGAGCGATGGATTCACGTTTTTTGTCGAGCGATGGATTCACGTTTTTTGCATTCTTCTCTAAATGAAGTTCACCGTTGACGTCGCGTTATTCTTGATGTCATCGATGTCATCGATGTCGTTGTTCAATCCGCTGTCGTTGATTTCATCTGCTATCACTGATCGGATGGCTGGTACGCTGTCGTTGACCTATACTGGTTTTTACATTTCACGGTTGTTTGTCAATCAATAGTCGTCATTATCGTTGACGTGTGGACGACGTTGGGAGTATAGGGGTTCCGGCGACTGCTCGTCGTTGTCATTACTCCGTGGGCAGATTTGGTAGGAAGTACTTCGGGGATGATGGATGGAATTTGTCGTTTTGGGGGGCACATACTCGGTCACCAGGGGGGACCACATCACGAATGAAAGAAAGTGATATAAGGTGGTAACTATGTACGATCACATGCGGATTGTGTGTGTGGGATCACGCATTAAGAGAAAGGGGTATGGGTTTCATTGTTTGCGCTACCGTCAGCCTCAGAAGATGGCAGTCGTTCCATGTGAAGCATTGTCACCGGTATTAACATGTGCTACATCGTTCTCTATTCGAATAACAGTTTAAAACGATCAATCACTTGCAGCTTGGCCCAGGATTTAAGTGTGTTGTAAGTTCAGATAAAGAAAAAAAGAAGAAAAGAAAAAGAGAAAAAAAGAAAAAAAGAAAAAAGAAAAAAGAAAGAAAAAAAAAAAAAAGAAAAAAGATAC